ACCGCATCTGTTTGAAGACATCGTGAAAAGCAATACGAATTGAAACTTGAAAGAATTGCTTGTAGTGATTTGGTTGAAAAAGGTTCAATCAAGAAACTACTTTGAGAAGACCGGGTGATACGCGTTGGGGCTCTCACTATGGAATAATTGTGAGTGTAATTACATTATTTTTTTCTCCAATAGTTTCTTTGGTGAATATCATTCAAGATGATCTTAAAAATTTTGCGATAAGAATAGAAGCATCTTCCATTTTGTATTTCATTGTTGATTTTGAATTTATACTCAATTTGCATTTAATGGAGAAAGTCTTGGGGGTTACTTATGAGTTGTCACAATCATTGCAAAGAAAGGGACAAGATCTTGCAAATGCAATTGCTCTAGTGAGAATTGCGAAAGTTAGTTTGAGAAACTTGACGAGTGTTGGTTTTGACAACATATACTTGATGTGACAATGAAGTTATGTAAGAAGCATGATATTCATATTCCAAATATGGGAGACTTTTATCATACACAAGGAAGATCTATGCGAAATGCATCCACTTTCAAGTTTTGGGAGTATTTTAAGATGAAGTCGTTTGATAATGTGATTGACTAACAACTTCTTGAATTGGATGATCGTTTTGACAATGTCAACACAAAGTTAATTGACTGCTTCAGTTGCCTTAATCCAAGGAATTCATTTCTTGCATTTGACATGGAGAAGTTGGTTGAATTTGCTAGATTTTATCCGATGTAATTGGATGAGTTTTGCGATCTTTCTTTCCTATCCTCTTCTCTTGAAACTTTTATTCTTGATGCCAAATTGTAACACCCGCCTTCCGTGGACCCGGTTCACCCGCGACCCAACGGACCGGTAGGGTTACATGGGCGGTCCGAGAACCGTCCGTAGCAAAAGAAAACATTAATGTCTATTTATTATGAAAACGTTTTGGTTTAATTAGCGATATAAATGCTAAGGAGTTATTCCCAAACGTGTGTGATATAAATGCAGAGTAAAAGCGGAAGTAAATAAATAAGTCGAAAATAGGTAAAATGACATATGGTGGGTTCACGCCTGAATGATTAATTAATTAAATGTATATATTTATTGAACTCGTCCATGCGCCGCCCATCCTCCCATCATCACTGTCCTCCAGGGTTAGCACCTGTACCGTCATGTCTACCTGCGTGTAGCAAAAACAACTACACGATCAGCAAAAGCTGAGGAGTGAATCTAACAAAAGAACATTAAGTGATAACCCATATGATTATACACATATTAATACCTGTACTTTAACATACGGGAAACCACATGTTTACTAACTGATTAATTTACACCTGTTGGGGTACTATTACATATAACAAATTGATGTACTACCACATTGGAAATGGACATGATGGGTAACATACATGATGATGACAACCTCATTGAATGTTGACGTGACATGGAACATACATGATGACGATATGACTTGATGCATGACTTAAACTATCAGGGACACCCCTGGCTTAGTCTCACTTGACAGGATCACCCCTGCACTCCGGTAATGAGCTGGGCTCGACGAAAATGTCGCAAGTGAACTAGCAGAACTGGGTGGTAGCCGTAGCCTGACTACCATGTACGTACACAAAGACCACCTAATGAAAACCCGTTGGATCCCGAGTGTTCCAGGACGGGCCCACTGTAGTAGGCGCACGAAAGCCTGACCTCCCTACAGCGGTATGCACATGATGGAAAAACCTAGGACATGCGTCTAGAATGAACATGATGAATGTTTGATATACTTACCTTTGATCAACACCAAGAATATATCAATTAAATAACATACATAATGGAAATTAACATTTCATACAAACATATAATCAGCTTCTGGGTCGATTTGGTCAACGGGGCTCGTTCTATAAACTGCCTGGAAATCTGCCCGCGAAACGGTCGACCGTACCCTACCGGCGGTCGACCGTGGGGTACACTATGGAGGTCTGGATGGCCGACGGTCTACCGTGGTCTTCCGTCGCGGCCGGCGGTTGACCGTCACGGTGGTGACCGTTGAGTTGGCCATGGGAACGGTCCACCGCCCGTAGCGGCGGTCGACCGTCCCGGAGACAGTCCGCTGTCCCTTGCTCCGTTTTGGTCCGTTTAGCTAGTTTAACACTTAGATTCTTTTTAGAACAATAATATAACATTGATGAAGATATTCCTAGTGATTCCCAGGCCAATTTTTATAGGTTCTACGTAATAAACGTTTTGGTGGCTAATCTACGAACTTGCATAGATTCTACGTAGGTTACATACGATATTTCTATGAATATAACGACATAAATTATAACTTGATGTTCTAGAATTAGAGGGGACAACTACTCACCTCTAGATGAAGGAATTGACGGAAATGATGAAACGAGATGAACGAATGGTTGACAACGTTTGAACGACGAATGGTTTCTCGCGAACACCTCCTCTTCTTCCTCCTCGTCTACTCGCCGGAATCACCTCTTGGGCTGCTGTGGTTGGCCGAAAATGCAATGGGAGAGGAAGAGGGTGGAGTGTGTGAGGGGAGTTACAAATGATGAAGAGGGAAGGAGCTATTATATTGAGTGAATAATGGTGGGGATTAATGGGGTAATTTATTGGAAATTGATGGAGAATTAAGGTGAGGAAAATGAAGGGGTGTGTGTGGCGTGGGTTTGGATGGGGGTTACATATATTCACTTTACTCCGTTATGTTAATATCTGACCTGAACGGTACGCGGTTTTCCCCCCGAACGGGTCCGAATTGAGATCCGATTGTGTTTTCGGAATCCGACAGTCGAAACAAATTTAATGACATGTTCAAATAATTTTTCTAAGAACTTTATTTTCAAACATCCGGGTCCACCCCAATCATTAATTAATTTATTTAATTAATTAATATTGAGAGGTCCGTTATTAAAACATCTTTTTATATTTAAAAACACATTAACTTTTGAAGTCCATTTAATGAGATCAAAATCTCAATATTTATTATAATGAGTCTCTATAAACAAATAGTATTTATTTATTTAAAACTAGGCCGGTTTGAGGGCGTTACATGAAAAGTGATGAAAGTTTTGCTAATTTGAAGGGAATTGGGGATCTTGCTCAAAAAATGGTTGAGAAGCAAAAACATATTGTTTATCCCATAGTTTATTTGTTGGTGAAATTGGCTTTGATCTTACCAGTTGCAAGGGCGAGCGTGGAACGCGTGTTTTCAGCAATGAATTTGGTCCCAGATAAATTGCCCAATCGAATTGGGAATGAGTGGTTTCTTGCTTGTATGTTAACTTATGTAGAGAGTGAAACTTCTGATAATATCACAGATGACGATATCATGCAATATTTTCAAGCAATGAAGCCTAGAAGAATGATTTTGTAATACTATTGTAATATTACCTTTTGTGGTATGGTTGAATATTAATACTATTTCATATTTTATAGTTATTCTCTAGTTTTTAATATAATGTTTTTGACACCACTCTTTAGGTTGTCTAGGTCTGCCCCTACTACCATTGACGCCACCCTATAATGGAAAGAAGGAAAAGAAAGAAAAGAAGAAAAATTAAAGAAAAGGAAGTGGAGATCTAGACTCACCATCATCCCCTTTAACACCATCGCCTTCGCCACCATCGCTGCCATGCTCGGATCTAGAAGAGAGATGGAAGAAACAAGAGGAGGTGATAAAGAAGAGCAAAGATGAAGGGGGAAAAGTGAAGAAGAGGAGGAGATGACGGAGGAAGAGAGAGGATGAGAAAGAAAAAACGAAAAAAGAAGATTAAAAAGTGGAAGAGGAGAAACTGTACGGGTTAGAAAGAGGAGATCGAGAAGAGAAAAAGAAAAGAGGGGGATAATTTAGGAAGAATTGGTATAAAATAGTAGAATGTGAAGATTATTTCCGGATGGAAAAAAGGTAGAGTGGAAAGATTTTTTCCGAACGGAAGGAGTAATTCTTAAGCTATCTATCACATCATACTTTCTTACTAATAATCTATCCATTACTTTCTACTTTTACTCATCACATCAAGAATATTTAATTTTTAGATAGTCAACACAAAAATATTTCTCTTTTAAATTTTTTTAAAATCAAAATAGGAACATCGTTATGAAACGGAAGAAGTATATAACTAAATATATTCTACCTTTATTATTTATAATAAAATTTATATTATAACTAAATATATACTACTTTTTTTTACATACAATTTGACCAACATTATCAAAATGTGTCTATTATTTACAAAAAAAAGAGTACCAGAGTATTAAAATGTGTCTTTAGTTACGGAGTACGTATATAAAAACATATGTATGCTCCAACCTTCCTCCCTCCCCCCGTTATCAAAATGTGTCCTTAGAGCATCTCCAATGTATAGGGTATAAAGTGGTAGTCTAAAATCAATTTTACACTATCAACAGTGTTATACACACCCAATTTTTAATAACTACTCCAATCATATCTTCTATATAATACACATTTTTAATTTTTTTTATTATTCTAAAATTATTTATTCATAATACTTATTTTAATTCATAGTTTAATTATTAGAATGGAGAATGTCACTTACGAATAAAATTACAATATGTAAAAGAAATAGAATTAATTCACAATAAATAAAGAAATGAATTAACAAAAGGACAAAGGTGAAACAAATTGAGAAGAAAGAGAAGTAAAAAAAGAGAGGAAAAGAATGAGTAATAGTGATCTTGTATAAATAGAAGGTGGGAGTGGTATTTTGCACGATAGTGCATTTTATTTACCATTAGGTATACACAATGCATTGGAGAAGGAAAATATAAATAGTAAATGGCATAAAGTGTATATTTAGGCATATATACTATAGTTGCTCTTAGAAACCCACAAACAAAATAGAAGTAAAGCTACATTCAAAGGCTTGTTTCCGCAACACATTCCAATGCCACCGATTCCATTCCCCGCTTCCGAACCATATTTGGATGATTTTGGCGCACTAATTACATTCTCAGCCGGTTTAGGTGCATTTCCTTTCACCGCCGGTTCCGGGGCAGTTATTGATTCCCCTGCCGGTTCAGATCCGACTACTCCATTCTCCAATTCGGGTGCCATTCCATTCCTGGGCGGTGATGGCGTTGAACTGGCCCGGGAGGGGCTTCCGCGGCCGGATGGCGCAGTTCTGGAACACCGCCGCGGAGTCGCCGAAGATGAAGTCCACGGTGCCGTAGATGGCGCAGTCCCGGAAGTATTGGCGGTTTGAATGCGCGAAAAGCGTGTCCTGGTATCCCGATATCTTGCACCGGTAGAAGGCCCCCCGGTCGCCGGCCACCATAAGGGCCACCGCTTGCCCCATGGCGGGCCCGGCCGTGTTGTGGAATCCAATGTCGTAGGCGGTGAAGTCTTTGGCAAACACGGCTGCAACCAACATCAACGCATTAAAAATTAAAGAATCTAATGAATAGATGGAGTAGTAAGTGGACTAATAAATAGAATAATATTTTGATAATACCGAGTATTTGATAAGATAAATTTTATAATTATTTTTTTTGGATCAATATGTAATATACATTTTATTTAATTATTGGTCAAAGTCGATCAACTTTGATTGCAAAAAGTGAAAAGTGAAAAAATATTCTAGAGTGGAAATATATACGGAGTAGTAAATACTCCCTCCGTCCCAAAAAAATGTGACGGTTTGACTTTTTGGGAAATTAAGGGAGGAATATTTTGGTATTGACTTTCCAAAAATACCATTGATGTGATGGGTAAAAGTAGGATGTGATGGGTAAATTATTAGGAAAAATGTATGATGTGATAGGTAGGGTATGAAAAAGTAAGGGGTAAAAGTGGTTTTTTAATAGAAATGTAACGGACTTTACGGGACGCAGTTTTTTCTAAACGTAACAAACTTTTTGGGACGGAGGAAGTACTACTTTGCTCAATATAACATTTCAACTTTCATATCTTATTTATCCTATAAATTATTTCAATTTGAGCTAAATAAACACTATTACTTTTACTTTTCTTAAATCTAGACCGACATAATTCAACAACCTTACACGTCATATCCATTTTGATATTTTTCGAGCACTACTCATTTCAATTAGTATCGTTTCACTTTAATTTGGTCAAAATATACAGTTTCCCCCTTCCCTCTTAAGTCAAAACAAGATATGTTTAGCGTGATAGAAGAAATATTATGATATACTCCCTCCGTCCTATAAAATATTTCAACTTTCTCATCTTACCATTCTTATAAAATATTTCAATTTCTCCAAAGTGGGCTAAAATATCTATCTTTAACTTTACTTTTCTCACATCACATCCATCACATCTCATCTTACTTTTTGTTTTTTAATTACTCCTTTCCATTGATATGAAACATCACTTTTAAAAAGAAAATTCTAAGGGGATTTTTAGAAGATCAAACACTAAAATATACCTCTTTTAAATCATCCAAAAGTCAAACTGAAAAATTTTTACGGCACGGAGGGCATGTAGTTTATAGAGTTAATATAAACATACGCCTTATAAAATGCAATTTTAAGATATACTCCGTATCATATTTTTATAATTTATACTCCGTATTTATATTAAAATAAATACGGAGTATATTAATGTTCAAATAGTGTATTAAAAATTATGAAAATTAAAGAAGAGAAAAATTATGGGATAAAAGAAGTACTCCCTTCTTCCCGGAGTATTTGTCTACTTTTGACTTTTTTTAATTAAAATTGGTAAGTTTTGATTCCAAATTAAATAAAAATGATATTTGATGGTGTAAATATAGATGGGTGGGTTAACTGGGTTTGACCTGGATACACTCGACCCGTAATATAAAACACACAACAAGAACACAAAGTATGACCTAGACCGGGTAAATTTCCTCAGTCCGAATTATATTTCTTACTTTATCTCAAGAGTGAACTTTAGTGAGAGAAAAAATTGAATCCCCTCCTCTATCCAATATCATCATATTTATAGAGGAGGATTTGTGACCTTCCCCTGTTCATCCATGGACAAAATAGGAAACCCGGAGGAAGGTCACTGTACATAATCAATCTACTATTCAATCAATGAATTTAGCAACTATAAGCCAAGACATGTACTGTTCAATCAAAGACTATAAATGGATATTCTCAATCCAATCAGCCCTGCAAAATGACAAACATTCCTTTCACTGTTTGCCTCGTGATGGACGAACGGCGGGGTGGTCCCTCGATCTTTGACGTGGTTCACCATGCCTGAGATACTGGACCAATGTTTGCAAAGTAAAGTGACATGACCGGTCACCTTTTCTCAAAGGTTACCCGGTCATTCTTTACGCTCAACCCGTCTCTGGTCTTCTAGAATGTCCTTTGTAACATTAGGCGACATTTTGGCTATCGCCCAAAATGTGACCGGTCACTTTTTTAGAAGAAGTGACCGGTCAACTTTTGACCCGTCCCAATCGAAGAGTTAACCTCATTTGGTGATTGATAAAAGTGACCGGTCATATATTGACATGTCCCTTCTGGTTATCCGGGTCGGGTATAAGGATATACCCATCAATATTAGATATTGATACAAAAATAATTTTATTAGATTTATTATATAAAATGTTTTCAAAATATAATTTTATCTGATTAATATACAATATATATTTTATTTAATTATAGATCAAGGTTGAAAACATTGGGATATTAATTAATAATGATAGGGAGTAATAATATAGAAATAATGAACAAGGGTTAATTAACCTTGAATTAATATAATAGAAATCACCCTAAATAGGACTAAAACATAGAGAAAAGTACCAAAATAGAACTTTCATGTTTTTTTCCCCGAAATAAGACTTTGCACTGTGGTAATGTGACTTCGCATTGTGGTAATGTGACTTCGCATTGTGGTAATGTGGTAATGTGGCAGTGTATATGCATGTGCACATTACTATACTTTTTTGGTAACGTATATGACCATGTTTGGTAATGTAAGTCCTATTTCGGGAATAAAAACATGAAAGTCCTATTTTAGTATATATTTTCAATGTTTTAGTCTTACTTTGGTCTTTCTCCCTTAATATAATTACTCACCAAATGTGGAAGTGTGATTAGGTCGTATCCTCCGATATGGCTCAAGTTGCCGCTAACAATGGTGGCATCCCAATGATTGTCAAGTTCGTCTTCTCCTCACAAACTTCCTCTCACTCTTCTCCGGCGCCGCTTTGATATCTTCCCCGATGGTCCGGAATTGCCCCGACCCGTCTTCCGCTACCACCGCGTCGACTCGCGTTCCCAATAATACGCTACTGTCGCCCTTCACCGCGACGTGAAGGGCGAATAGTACTACTGTTGTCCAAAAGAGAGCTACTCTTAGGAGATGGGTTTTATGCATAATATATAATCCCAGCTTTGAAGAATAAAATCAAAAGTGTATAGCTAGGAGCTTTGGTTTAATAATGTGCAAAAAGAGAAGGTTTTACGAAGAACTCTTGCAAATTTCACCGTATTTAAAATTAAGGCATAGTTTTGTTATCTTCAGGTGTTCGTTGGCACTCCTATTCTAGCTGGTATTGGAGTTTTTTTTAAAAAAAAAATACTCCGTAAAATTTATGGATGCATTATTCCTATTCCTGTTGGTAACTTGGTATTGAATTCGTGTTTTTTGAAGGGTGGTTAATTACGTTGGTATTATACAAGATATAGCAATTTTATTACATTTGGGCTTTTGAATAGGGATGTGATTAGTCCGGCCGGTTAATTACACGTATTCAAGGGGTATTTTCACAATGCGAATAAAATAAACTCAGATCAAGTATGAGTTGGCGATCAGAACAGATATGAATAGAACTTATCCCGGGGTCTAGAAGAGGTAATTTTGTATGGGCTTTTATCCTCTTTTTTGGTTCCTTAGAATTCATATTAGTTGGCACTGCCAGTTATTTTAGTCAAAATTTGATAGCCTTTTTCCCTCGAGGGATGGTCATATATACAAGAGTAACCAATATCTTCATATATACAAAATGTGTAAAAGATGAACATTAAAATTCCCGCCTAAATATTATGAGCACCGGTTTGAAATGAGCCAAAAAATTGGGGAACGGGCCTGATGGGGGAAGGTTACTTTATAGAGAAATGTAAAATTAATTACTTTGCATGAGAGAGTGCGTGAGGGCGGCTTGGTTTCGGTGAATGTGTTTATTAATGGGGAAGAGAAAAGGGTGATCATTGGCGGATCCAATAACAGATGAATGGGGGGGCACTTGCCCCCAATGAATTTTTAACTTCTTAAAAGAGTATCTTAATTTTTAAAAAAAATATTGTTATGCCCCCATCATAAAAAATTAAATGCCCCCACCAAAAAAATGAAATGTTCCCAATAAAAAATTGAGTTGAAAATCAAATATGTATTATTAAAAAAATGATTGTAAAATATTTAAAATAACAAAAACATAAGATGAAAATAAAAATTATTAAGAGAAATAATTTTCTAGGGTGTATTTTTAAAATTTTTCATTAATTATTTGAATATTTTTAGATGTTTTTTTGTAATTTCACATTATTTTTTTGAAAAAAATTGGGGGTGCCACCCCAAACCCCGTAGCAGTCTCGCCCTCCGTCTCTTCAATTCCTGGATCCGCCACTGGGGGTGACGCCGGCCGGAAAATAGTAAAAACCTTGGATTAAGCTTTTTGTACACCAAAATTTGTACCCCATTTTGTATCCCAATGGTATGCACCGACATTTTGTGCTAGTGTGATATTAGTATGATAATTTACATTGACAAAAATATACCAGCGCCATTTTTTTAATTGAACTAACATTTTCTACCAATGTGAATCGTTAAAACGTCGGTACATTTCTTTGGGGTACAACTTGGGTTCCACTTTCGGTGTACCCCTAGCATGGGGTATTGAGAAATGTGATACTTTATATGAAAACACCATTTTATGGAAAAAAGATGTATCATACAGTATTTATTTTGTAGAGAGGAATATGTGAAAGTGCCTTAGCTTAGATATTGTAAAAGGCCATGCGGCCCACTTTATTGGAAGTTGTAATGTTATTATAGTTTTTGAATTGGGGCGAGTGTATTCGCGGCTTGCATGCGGGTAGTGTATTGGTTGCTACAATTTTATACCTCCTTATTTTTTACTTAGTCAAATTAGGAACCCTTTGTGAGAACGAAGAGTGTATTAATTATGGGTCTTGAAACGGGCTACTTTATGGGAAAATGTAATTTTATGGAAAACAATGATATCATATTTATTTTGTACAAGACCATGCGGCCCACTTTATTGGAAGTTGTGATGCCATTATAATTTTTGAATTGAGGGGAGTGTATTGGCAGCTTGCATGCGGGGTAGTGTAATGGTGGCTTGGAGAACTGAATATACGCACATTTTGAGGCATGACATAATTATACAAAAATTTTAAATCTTTAGATTCGTGTGCAAATATTTTGCATTACACATCCCAACTATTTTGCACTATAAATACATGTTTCCATAAAAATTACAGATCCACACTATTTCATTTTTCATTTTATTTTTTTGTTTATCAACTCTGATACACTATAAACAGAAATGTTCTAGAAAAACCTTTTGATAAAGCAGCTTCTTTTTCTCTTTTTTTTTTGTTCTTTTTTCTTTGGTGTTTGTTGCTTCTTCATTATTTAATTTTTTCTTTGCTTCTTCTTCATTTATATTATTCAGTTTTTTATTTTTAGTTTTAAATTTGTTAAAATTCATTTATAACTTTTCTTTAATTTTTAAGTTTTTTAATTTTTAATTATTGTTCAAGATGTCCTTTGACATAACAAAATGATTTCCTTAAAATTTGTACTAATTTAGTTATATTTTATACAAATTCAAGTAATTAGATGTCATGTTAATTTTATATTTAGTTCTATTTGAATTTCAATTTATACATTAATTGTATTAAATTTGTATTCTTTATATTTTAGATAAATGATAGGCCATGCAACGCACGAGTACAAAATCTAGTTTGCATCCAAAACAAAGTTAACTACTCCCTCCCTTCCTAAAATCTTTCTTTGTTTTGACTTTTTTTGTCAAAGAGTGACATTCTTTAATCATAAATTGTGTGAAAAGTATATTTAATTATAATATAAATTTAATATAATTAGGTTAATCAGATGTTCCTCTTCTTCTTTGGTTTTTTTGTTTCTGCTTGTTTGTCATTGTTACTTGGCCTACCCTTTTTCTTTGGCCTAACAGGCTGTTGTAAGTTTGCTTCTTTCTTACAAGACCTTCTGTTATGGCCTTGTTCCCCACACTTTGCACATGTAACAGTCAATTCTTTTTTCTTGTTGATCGCCTCTCATCCTCTTCTTCTTGTGGTGACTTTCTTTTATTTTTTTGGGGTCTTCCAGGCTTTCTCTTAACAACAGGAGGCAACAACAATCTGACCGTAGCATCGTTATTATTAAGAGGAAGAATCTGACCGAGTAACTCCAAAAAAGAACAATGTGTAAATTCTTGGGGAACTTCAAACCCAGCGTTTGCATTCATAGCTACAATAATTTTTTTAAAAAAACAACTATAAGAAACAAGAATTAAATAATTAAAATAAAGAAAGCATCTTAATTCTCTTCTAAGATTTTATTCAAATTTGTATATGTTCTACAATGGAAGCAGGCAAGTAGCACATTGGTCAGCACGTGATTTTGATTCTTGGCCTTAATATAATGAAATAAATTCACTATCCATCCCAATTTTGATTCACTACTATTACTGTTTTTTGAACCTCCCCTCACCCCTTCATCTTTTTTTAAAAAAAATTTATTAGAAATAGAACAAACACAATCTAAGGAACCATATAGAACACAAACGGGAAACCATATAAAAAGAAAAAAATCTTAAAAAAATATGATCCAGAAAAAAAATCGGATGATGGATAATCACACTTGGAGAGTCAAGAAGATTTGATAATAAAATCTAGAAATAACTCCCCCACCTGGCACTACAAAAAATATGCGGCATTGGCACGGCCGTTGGCACGGACTGTAGTATTAAATTTCCGTGACTTTCAGTTTTGGCACGGACATTTGGCACGGATTTTTTTTGGCACGGATTAAATCCGTGCCTAATGCGCGATTTTTTTGTAGTGTGGAGAATCAAGAAATCGGAGATGGATAGCCGGATTTGCTTCCTCCAATGCGTCCATTTAGGGTATGTTTGGTTGGAGGTAGGTAAAATTTTTATTAGGTAGGTAATGGTAGGTAATTGAAGGTAGGTAATTGAAGGTAGGTAAAGTAAGGTAATGTGTAAAAAAATTGTGTTTGGATGTTTATTAGGTAACGTGAGGTAGGAAAAAATAAAATTACTAAAATATCCTTGAGGTTGTTTTTCTTTATTTGTTTAAGATTATTTATACGTAGTATGAAATTAAAATTTATTTAAATTTTAAATGTAAAATTTTAAAATTAAATAAACACTCTAGTAGAGAAAGAGTGAAAGGAAAACTGAAAATTGAAGTGCAAAAGTGAAAATGGCAAAAAATTGAAGTGCAAAAGTGCAAAAGAGAGTAGAACGAAAAAAGTGAGAAAAAAATCTGGAAATTGAAAAAAAAAAGTGAAAATTGAAGTGCAAAAGTGAAAATTACAGCGATGGGGAAGATTATGCAGTGAAAATTGCAGCGAAGGAAAACATGAAGATTATGCAGTGAAAATTGCAGGGAAGGGAAAAATTACAGTGAAAATTGAAAAGTGAAGTGCAAAAAAAAATTGAAAATTGCAGCAAAGGGGTTATGGTTATCGGAATGGAATTGAAGAGCAGAGCAGATCGAGAAAAAAAAAGTGCAAATTGAACTATGGCGATCGAAATACCTGTGGAATGGCGATGGGAAGTGGGAACCGTAGGAAGATGGCGATGTGAAGATGGCGACTGGCTTTCCTGCGATCGGGCGAAGGGTAGCGTTACCGTGATAATTAGCCAAATTGGCGGTCATGTAAAATGCACTGTTCAGAGGTAACCCTACCTCCCTTTACCTCTCTCTACCTCATTTGACCTATCTCAATTTTTGTTACCAAACAAGGTAAAATATTAAGTTTACCTCTCCCTACTTTCCCCTACCTCCAAACAAACATAGTGTTAGGGTATTGGGTTTTAGCCGGCAATTGCAGGGTTTTCCACTCCTTCGGATGATTTTCTTCATCAATTTTTTTTAGATAATTGACTCTTGGTCTTCTTTGAAGTTTTTTAATTAAGTGGGCTTTCAAAATTTAAAAGGAGAAAAACAATTGGGGCATATATGTCTTTTTCATATTCTTTGCCGGTCTCTGGACAGAAAATAATTTGGGGGGGCGAGTGTGCATCCTTTAGAAACCATAGGGATTTTAGGAGTAAGTATTAAAAACAGGGGGGGTTTCTGTACCTATTTTTCAAACTACGGGGTGGTTTAGAGCTATTAGGCCTTTTGATGGAAGTTTTCTTTTTTTACATTCGAGTTTTTCTTCATTCCAATTTTTTTCTTCATCTACGTAGATTATGGATATGTTTCTTCATTCCAATTTTTTATTTTTTATTTTTTATTTTAAGGTGAAATGGTTATAAATACATATAGAAAAAATAAAATTTAAATTGTGTTAAA